TGGCGCGCCGACGCCGGGGAAAATATTCATATGGTACCCGTTTGGGGCAAAAGGCACCAAAGGTCCGGAGTGCGACAATAAATAAATAATAATAAAATGGAACAATTGAAAATTGTTAAGGGGAAAATACCAACTGCAGTGCCCAATTAAAAGTATGCCCAATTGGGACGCTTCTCCAGGCTGACACCTGGGTAAAAAGGGGGACACACGGAACAAGTGCGCATGGACCGCTCCTACGGCTTGCTCATTAAGTGAAAGGGATGACGATGGTGTTGTGCTGAGATAAGTGCCAAGCGGGAATTTCATTTACTCTCCTCTCATTTGATTTTTTCACCACGCGAAAAGGTGTGGCATTGTTGGTACGTTTTTTTTTTTTTTTTTTTTTTTTTTTTTTTTTGGTCACCAAGCGGGGTGAGTGGCATCTCCATCGATTGTCTTTTGTCTCAATAGGACAGAGCCCACCATCATTTTTCATGTCGCATTTTTTACGTGGTGTTTGAACTGGGAAGTGATGAATGAGGAAGCGGTTGGGGTTGGGCCGGGAGAGTGAGGTCCACGTGTGCGTGATGGAATTGTCCCCTTTTTTTTTCTCGTTATGATGGCAGATATCCTTAGTTGAAAAGGAGCTCTGACCAAACTGGACAGTCTTTTTTTTCTTCTTCTTCTTCTTCCTTTTTGCCGTCCCCCAAATGAACAACGAAAGGGAAGGGGACGCTGCGGAGGGGGACGTGGTGAGAACGGCCGCGGGCAAGTCCTCCTCGCCTTCCACAATTAGGAAGACCAGGAAGAGCATTCAAAAGAAGGGGTGTGCTGAGCGAAACAAAAATAAGCCACATGTAAAGTACAATAATGGAGAGCTTATTAAAGTAATAAAAAATTGCAAACAGAATGACAGCATCTTTGACTATATTGGTGGTAGTTATAGAATGTACTTTTTGCTCAATCGGGGGAATGGTGTGCATGGACAGACACAAGTGGGATGTGATTCACCAGGTGGGAAGAGTGCGCACACCCCCTTTATCTTGTTCGAGTCGATAAATGCCTTCGAACTGAAGAAACACCCAGCAAGCGAACCAGTGTTTTCAACAATGTTTCATATGACCAAAGCTAATATGGAGCGTCTATACAACGAGAGCAACTTTTTAAGTCGTGGCTGGTCAGATGAGAAGAAATGGAAGGAGCTGCGGAGTGACAGGTGTAAATTGATACTAGGTTTTGTACATAAGCCTGAGGGTAGTGAAGACGGGGTCACATCGGATGAGCCAAACGTTACTGAGTCAGTTCTCGCGGGGGGGGAACCTCATTTGTCCTTTCTTCAAAGGGTACACAACGCGAACGGGACGAATGAACGCACGAATGAGGACCGCACGCAGGACGTGCATGATTATCTCACAAAACACGCCCTCGTATGTTTTGTGCACTACAGACTGACGGCAGATTACCCACCCAATGAACACACAACCATTTGCTACCTCTACGAAATTCAAATCGTGCCAGAGTTCACCAAAATGGGAATAGGCCAGCACCTCATTAGCATGTTGGAGGCTCTGTGCAGGAGAATCAATGTTCCTAAAATTCTGTGCACCGTGTTGAAGAACAACGTAAAAGCGGTTTCTTTTTATAAGACTAAGTGTTCCTTCCAGCTGGATGAGAGCTCACCAGATAACTTCACATCGGACGACTCGGAAGAGGAGTGCGAGTACGAGATATTGAAGAGGGTAGTGTTCAGCTAGTTGTCTCACAAGACGGGAGGAGAGTAAAAACACAACACACCCATGCCCTCTTCAAAATGGTCTTTTTTTTTTTTTTTGTTGTTAAATTTGAAGTATTTTTTTTTTCACTTCCTCCATCGCCCTCTTCGCTCCCATCACTTTTTTTTTTTTTTTTTAAATTTGAAGATTTTTTTTTTTTTTTTTTTTCTCCTCTTAAATTGAACAGTTTTTAGTTTCTTTTTTTTTTAAAAAAAAAAAAAAAATTGTTTATAATAAATTTCGCATGGCACGTGCGAAAGAGGGGTTTTATATTTAAGTGTTCCGCCGGATGACACTCCTCACCACGCGAGGGGGTGGTGAGCGATACGACCGGCGTGTAATATATATGTGATCAACCCGCATGTTATACACCATCGGTCATGCAATATGCACAAAAATATATATACACAAGGCGATAGGCTTTTAATAATTCCTCTTCGCCAGTGGAAAATATCCTTCATTATAGAATTCCAATCTTGTTGGCTACCTCCAAAGCGTCATGGTCCTTTGAAAGACGTACGTATGCCTTCTTGTCTCCATTCAGTCTACAGAGGGGGGGGGGGGAATGAGCAACGCTATTGTGAGCATGTTCATGTATATATGCTCACGTACGCGTGTACACATATATATATATATATGTGTGTAGAGGCGTGCACGCAGAAAACCGCCTTGAGGTCCAACGTTGGAAAGGGGGGGCCAATTGACACGTACCTGTTGAGCACATTGACCTTCTCGCAGTTGATTCCGAAGAGGTCCTTGACCGACTTCATGATTTTCCTCTTATCTGCCCTCTTGTCGCAAATAAAAACGAGGGTGTTTATTTCTTCAATCTTCTTCATCGCCTTTTCCGACGTCAGGGGGTATTTCAAAATTCCATATTTGTCCAGCGTCTTTGTGTAGCATGATTTTACAATTTTGGGGCACTTTGGGTTTTTGGCCAATTTGAGGGTTTTGGGTCTGCAGGCAAGTGGTGAAGAAAAATGGCAAAGCGGTGATACATACATCTTCACGGGTGCATGAATGGGGGAGGGAGCCACACCCCGTTCGCAAATGCTACGAAGTGGTAGCTCTGCCACGTGGGCCGTGGTAGGAGAAGTCAAGGACGCTGTCCGCTTACCGCTTAAATCGAATGGACGTGATGATTTTTTTCTTCTTCTTCTTGGACTCCTCGGCGGCGCCCTTCTTCACCTGCTGATTCTTTCCGCCCACTTGTTTGCCCAGGCCCTTTTTAACTTTTCCTTTGTACATTTGCTTGTTCTCCTTGGCGGCTCCTTTCTTCTTGGCCAACTTGTCATTGCCGCTGGCTGCTGCCTTGGCGTTGCCCTTTACATTCTTCATGTTCTTTTTGTTTTTATTATCCTGTTTTTTTTTATCCATTGTGGCTTCTGCAAAGGGGATGGGGGGAAGAAGAAGTTACAACGTGGGTATATATATATACGGTGCTTCCGCGGCGGGAAACCTTCCTCCCATGGATAACCCATTGGGCTTATCTATACACGTTTGTAAAAACACACGCGGGGTGGTCGTGGGGGGAAGTATGCGAGGGAGAGGCGGCTTCGGCATCACCACTCCAGCGTCGCAGCGTTGAAGAGGCTGTGTTTTGTCACGCCAGTTTGGCCGCTCTGCAACTTCACTCTGCCTGCCACTCCACCCCTGGCGCTTCATTTTTTTTTTTTTCTTTACTTTTATCCTTAGTCCCTTCTACCATTTTGACGATGATGAATTTAAATGAAAAAAAAAAAAAAAAAAAAAAAAATTCGAGTTTGGATTCTTTCCTATAAAATAAATGGAAACCTCTCTTTGAGATGAACTTTTTTTTTTTTTTTTTTATAAAAAATTTAAAAAAAAAAAAATTCTTTTGGAGGAGAAAAAAGTATCGCTTGCGCGTATTCAAAATTATTTATATAAAAATTGTTAAAAATATAAACACCTGTAAAAAAATAACGTGTAGATACAAATGTAAATAAAAAGTTGCTCCTTTGTATAATATAATAGCAGCTCTTTCTGCTCTGTTTACCACCGCTCGGGGTCGTTGAACGCAATATAATATTTATTTTCCGCGCAAAACCGAGCGGGCATGAAAAACGGGAAGAAAAAAAGCGGGACCCAACCCGATCGGATTATAAGAAGCCCCTACGTATTTTTGGCGACACGGGATGCAAAAAACAAGGGGGGGAAGTGGTACTTGTTTTTTCCCCTGCACAGGGATCGCCTTTTAACAAGTGGGTGCTTAAAGCATACGAAGATAATATAAGTGCACATAAAAGAAACACTTATAAATGAAATAAATACATAGGTAAACAAAAATATATGGCATGCCCATCCCTTGGGACACTTTCTCCCCTCAGTGGTGTGAATTAAAACGAAGGGGTGGTGCTTGACAAAACTTGCGGTGCGCAATGGATAATATTGTACGTGCACAACAACTAAGGGTAGGCCGTCTTCTATATAGGGGAAAGTTGGTATGCTTTTTTTTTTTTTTTTTTGGGCGAAAACTGTGCTAAGGTGACAACCGTACCGTTTAAGAAGAACAGATGGCAAATGGGTTGCTTGCCGTCGGCTATTATATAATACATGTCACAAAAAAAAAAAAAAAGGGGAATTTTTAAAAATGCATGTCGTGCGCTATTACGCTTGTATATTGTGGTGCCCCTCTCGGTTTGCCTCCTTTCCGTTCACCCGGAAATGTAACCCCATTTGGAGATGACGTGATTGGTGGCGGACTTTAAGTTGTTTTCCTTCTTCGCTCCGTTTTTTTCCCTCTTCACATTTTTTTCGTATTTTAAAAATTTTTTTTTTTCGTTTTTTTCCTCCTATATGGCTGTTTTCCTTGTATTGTTTTAATTTTTTTTTTTTTTTTTTTTTTTTT